AAATATGGCACTCCGAAGAACTCCGGAGGAGCTGATTCGCTATTGCCTGAGACAACAAGGTCCTCGGCTCAGTTTCCTGCAGCCGAGAGACAACAACACCACCTTAACTTGGGCTTCGCCCCGGCGTCCATCTCCAAAGAAGCAAGGGTTTCGGGTTGCGAGGGCTACCCGTGGCGTCTGCAGCAGACCCAACGAGGTGGTTGCTTTTGTATCATACGGCCCACAGCGAACCGTGATTCCGGTAATCCTCGCCGGCGTTCGATTTCTTGTCCGCGAAAGATCATCCTGGTGTCATGGCAGGCGTCCATACCAAGGCCATGACATGCTGTTTAGGACGCCTTTCTTACCTCGATTCTCAGAGCTTCGGGTCTTGAGAGTCTTGCCTTGTTTTGTGTGATCAACCACTCTCTTGGTTGGTTCGTATGCCTACAGGGGTCGGTTCCAGTCTGTTGGAACGGGCTGGCAGAGAAAACATGCCACAATATGACCAATGAATGTTCCAGGCACCTGGTGGTCATGACCCGGTGCTTTGGTTCTCTGCATATGCACATGTGTGCGAATGGTGCCACAAGCTGACTAGTGTCAGAGACAATGGATCCATCTGTCCTTGCGGATTGTTCTCTCCGTGCTGGTTAGGCGTAATCTTCGGAGTGTAGAAAATCGAATGGTGTGGTTTGGACGGGCGAAAACCCTACAAAACAACAGCTTGTGCCTCTAACATGTTTACTTTGTTCTGGCTATTCAAGCCCCAAAGTTGGACATCTACGCTTCAAGCTCGTGTATCAACGGCTGAGCGTTCTTTATTTCATCTTTGGCTAGTTGTTGACCAGCATCTTCACCATCTCGCACATCAACACCGTCTCCGCTACCAGCCCCTTTTTCTAGTCATAGGATCCTCACCCCTCATTATCCCATTTCCCATCTTAGTTAACATGGTTGCGGGCTCTGGCGCCAATGGTATGTCCCGTAGAAACAATCACGACCAAGTGTAAGTTGCCAATCCGTACAATTTGCTTTTAATGTGGCAGTGGAAGACTAATTCCAATGACAACTCAGAAGCTCCAAAGCGGGTGTTGAAAGACGCGATAGCAGAAACCAGAGTGACGCCTGTCCAAAGTCCCCGCTGTTAATCATGAGTCCCCAGGAGACGCGGCCTCTCTCTGGAGGTAGCGGAACACAGAGCCTATGGGTAGAAACATCATTCGCGGCCCCTAGACCTGACGTTCTTAAGTCGTCACCTACGGTCCCATTTTCTCTCCAAGAGTATCTCAATGATGAGAATGATCTGGAGCGGTGTATAGCAGGCATGCCTGGGCAAGGCCGATGCTCAAGCTCCGAAGAGCGCCAGGCTGGCCAACAAGCGGTGCAACTCTACACACATAGTCCTTCACCAGTTGCAGTCGCCGACCGGGCAACAAACACAGGCTTTTTTGACTCGGAGTATATCGAAGTGGACTATGCAGAATTGGCGAGCGTGAGGGGCTATCAAGCAGCCGCCACGACGACGACGGATGGCTTGGGTGGCATGGAAAAAAATGAAGTCATATCGCTAGACTCTGCGTCTGTATTGTCCGTGACCCCTTCGGCCGCCTCATCATCATCGTCATCATCCCAGTCTTCTAGCCTTTCCCTGCTCGACCCGTCATATGCCCCTTCCCCAAATTCTCTTCGCTATGAATCCCTTCACCGCCAGTTACAAGAAGCAGGGCTGGCTGGCCTAGGAGATGGCACGAATAGCATCCAGCTGTACCACCGGTAAGAAAGTGCCGGTCCTTGAGGCGGTTGTACGCAGCGAGCGTTTTTGCTAACAAGGAAGCGGGGGTATAATAGGGCGGCCACAATGAAGACAAAGCACGGTCGAGTGAACAAGCATCAGAGAGCACGTCGTCTGGCAGGCGATGGTAAGCGCACTACTGCAATGGAAAAGTCTGCAAGGGCATCAAGCTCATAGTTGTAACAGGATGACAAGGCATCTCCTCGTCCATACGTGTGTGGGGTTGTTCAGTCGATGAGATTTTTGCACTGGGATAAAGAAATGGAGGGGTGAATCTTGATACTGTGTCTTAGCTACACTGGGTCTCTTCTTGTAGGGAATTTTGCCTGTTCTCTTGATCAAGTGCTCCTCAGTGACGATGCCAGTGATGCAACATGGCAGGGTATGTAGAGCGGTGGCACACATGGAGAACGCAAGTCATCCCGCCCGCCATGCCGTAGGACATGGAAGAAGCATGTATCACATGGCCGACGAATAGGAAGCATACCCGCCCGACTCGGTAGAGCCTAATCCATCTTCAGGCCGACCTTGTCTCCCGTCCGTCCATCCCTCGGTCTCCGGGAGGGGAGGCACCCCCTTACATGGCCTCCTCGCCCACACACCAGACATTTGAACCTTCTTTTTTTTTGCCCTAGCGGCGGCGAAACCTTGCTCGAGTCATGACAGCAGTCACACCCACCTGGTCCACAACTCGCCAATCTTCTTTTTCCCTTTCTGATTGCGTATCGTGACAAGCCTTGTTAAGGAGTAATAAGGACGCCATCTCCGACACGGATGACGGGACGCACCCGGACAGTTCAACTGATCCGGCCCGGTTAGCTCAATCGGTAGAGCGTGAGACTCTTAAGAGTACACGAAATCTCAAGGTTGCGGGTTCGACCCCCGCATCGGGCTTTTCCTATATGAATTTGATTGAGACGGTGGTCCCGTGTTCCCTACTTTTTTTTTTTTTTACCTCATTTATAAATTTTATAATTTTGCCTTTGTAATTTCCTTTTTAGTGGCAGCCCCGCCGCTTAAGAGAGTGAAGCCTTTTTTCCTTTTCCTTTTCTTTTCCCATGCCGGGCATTTAGTATTCTTTTGCCATCATTGATGTGACAGAAATATCAACCTGCCATACCCGATGTTCCTCCACTTTTGGCAGCGACACGATATGCTGCCAACTTGGCCGCTAGGTCGACCTACACATCTTGTCTGTCCTTTCAAGTTTGGACGGTCCAATCACGCATACTTGTGAATTTCGCTATTGCCATCTTCTTGGCCGGCAGCAGAAGCAGAGATGTGTGCACCTTGGACCACTTACTTGGTCGACATGTCTCCCGCGCTGCCGACGGGCCACGACGGCCCGGAGACCCGGGATCCCGCAACAGATGATGCCCTCATGGTGCCCACGCCGACAGCAAAGACATGTAGCTGCTGGAGGAAGCAAAGTCGGGGGCATCCGCGCCGTGCAGCGCCTTTATCCGAAAGGCAGACACTACGAGCACGCTGCTCCCACGTGATTAGTACCCGCGACCTGTTTTTGCTCCTGGGCACGAGCCAAAAACTACATTATTTCCGCGTTCAAGACGACAATGACAGCTAGACGGCATTGAACGTAACCGCATCACATACACGGCCGGAGTGGCTAGTACGGCCACGTCCAAGGCCAGGCCGAGAGACTCGAGCGCCATAAAGGACGCGCCTTGGTCCCCGCATGTGTGGTGTTCCTATCCCAGTTGGCGGACAGGATAAATGACGCCATGACGAGGCCGTCGTCGGTTCTGAAATCCCCGAGCACAGGGCCCGGCGGCGTAGTTGATGTGAATCCGAGCGCTGCCAGGCCCAGCTCATGCCGAGCGTGCATTTCGCAAGAGGAGTCAATGTATCCAGACATGGTGCTGCGGCTCTCAGCACACGGACAGAGTATGCCCGTGGTCTCTGGCTATCGAGAGTTGCCCACCTCCGGGGGGGGGGGGTCAAACGGTTTAAAGAAAGAGGACGTGTGCTGAAAAGCCTAATTGGACAACTCTCGTGGAGGCTATGCCCGTGGCCTTGAAGCCGGGAGGTGCGGACAAGCTTTGCCAGACTGATTTCTTCCATCATGACATTGACAAAGTCTCATGGCAAGTTGCAACTGAATGCGAGGCTGTAAACAAGGCTGTCCATCTACTATCGTGTGCGCCCATTACTAAATCCAGCTCTTCTAAATCCCCTTTTCTATTACGCACCGCTACATGAAGCCGAAAACCCCCCCACCAAAAAAAAAAAAAAAAAAAAAAAGCCCGACTCCATCCATGGCAGACGCTCCAGGTGCCTTTTTTTCTTCATTTTCTTTCTTTTTTTTCCTTCCCGACTCCGAACATCTGTAATCGTCACCAGCCGCGCGTCTGATGACCTCTCTGTGTGCGCCAAGGCATTCCTTTCTCTTCCGGTCTGCCCGGCGACAACCCTCTCCCCACCCACTTTTTGTCCAAAAATACTGGTGAATCAATATTGACGCTGATGCAATATTACCCACCGAATAGGATAGGGGATGGGTCATTTCTGCCTTTGACAGCCTGCTGACACTTGCCACTGCTCATGCAGGCCCTCGGGCTAAAGCGTCTACGAAAGGATTTTGTAGCAGGAATTTTTGGTGGTGGTCGCATTTACACGATGGCCATTTTGGGGTATTGCGCAGGCCCCGCTCCCAAGGTGCAGGGTTTAACCTGTCGTTTTAGATCAGGCGTTGCACTATGTTAGTTTTTACACATGCAACGTTCTTTGTTTGTTTCATTTGTAAACGCTTGTCTTGGAAGTGCTGCAGACGACCCACATTGATTGATGCCTGGTCGCGGGCACGGAAAAGACACAATGAGCCGTTGGGGAACGTCACAAGACCACAGGGAGTGCGCAGCGACAGAGGACGGTTTATAAAGTGTATTTAGTAAAATTTCGGTCCAACTAAGAAAGAAAATGGAAAGCCACTAAGAAGGAGTGCATGCAGATCTTGAAACTGCAGAGTCGCACGAGCGTATCGCTCAAGGGTATTGAAGAATAAACTACTGTAAGTCAACAGACAAAAGGAAATAGTCCATCATTGGTGGGTATCCGTAGAAAGTTCATGAAAAGTACAACTCAAGGTAATGTTAGCGCGGAGCCAAAGTGTCCCGGTTGAACAAGTACTAACCCCAAAGTCTCAATGGAGTTATCGTAACCAAAACTATAAATACAAAAAAGTACACGTATAAAACACAGCATCGGGTCACACCTGAAACCGCAAAGGCGACCTCCTCCTCGGCCTCGCGCGCGGATACTCCCTCCGGCCGGCCCACAGCTTGGGCCGCCGCAGCCGCGACCTCGACACGTCCCCGGACAAGGTGGACATGACGTCGTCCTCCAAGACGGGCACGTCGTCGACGGGGTCGAGCAGATGGATGCGCGTGGAGACGTCGTCGGGCAGCGGCGCCGTGAAGACGGCCTGGATGTCGCCGTGGGGCGAGAAGCCCGTGAAGCGCCAGCGGAAGAGGCCGGCAGGGCGGCGGCGCTTGTTCTCGGCGGCCCACAGGCGTCGGCGCTCAAAGATGCTAATGGCCACGAGGAGCGGCCCGTTGAGCACGCGTATGAGGGCGACGTTGATGGTGTGGAAGAAGCGCGGCGAGACGAGGAACTTGAGCGGCAGCACGGCGAGGACGGCCAGCATGTTGAAGGGCGGCGGGTAGGCGAAGAGCGAGTCGCTCTTGACGCCCTCAAAGGTGAGGACGGTGCGGCGGAAGCGAATCTCGGCGGCCTCGTTGGCGACAATGTGCGAGAAGGTGTTTGTCAGGATGGCCACGAGGATGGTCAGGAAGAGCGTGTTGCCGAGGAAGGCAAAGGCGATCATGAGCGCGGGGCCGAGGACCATGTTGAAGCGCACCGACTCGGCGATGCCCGTGCCGTCGAGGCCGAACCAGATCCAGAGGAGCCATTTGCCGACGGTCGGCCACGGAGGCGGCGCCGTCGCCGACGTCTGGTCCGCCCGGTCGGCGTCGTAGAGCCACAGCAGCGCGAGGAGGAAGCCCAGGAAGCACCACACGGCGAGAAAGGTCAGCAGCGTAAAGTCCTTCATCATGGCGTGGAGCGAGATGAAGACAATGTTGTGCGGCATGACGTTGAAGGCGATGCGCGTGAGGAGGATGGGCGCCGCCACGCAGAGCATGTGCAGGCCGTAGCCGTTGGGCAGCCGGCCGGCCAAGACGTCGTACACCCGGCCCAGCACGTAGGCGCCGTAGATGGCGACAAAGGTGACGTCGAGGAAGGACCAGAGGCTCTGCGAGTGCAGCTCCCAGCCGTGCTCGGTGACGGACGCAAACTCCTGCAGCACCCAGCCCGCCGTGTAGACGGCAAAGGCGAGCTCCCACTGGTTGAAGGCGGCCTGCTGGTTCGTCATGGTCATGACGTACAGCAGGACGAGGACCATGAACTGCACCATTTCGATGAGGGCGCGGATCCGCGGCACGATGAGGCGCCGGTGGTTGAGGATACGCGACTCGCGCGGGTCGTAGAGCTGGATCGGGCGGTGTTTGTAGTGGTCGGGGAGAATGTCCATGAACGACAGCGGCGTGTAGACGACCTTGCCCACGTGGACGGCCTCGACGAGTCGCTGGCAGGCGGCCGAGCTGATGAAGGCCTTGCTCTCGGAGAGAATGGCCAGCTCGAGCGCCGTGAGCTTCCTCTCGTGGCCGCCGCGCCGTTGGATGGGCCATTGGAGGTAGCGGCCCTCGCGCTCAACCTCGTACGGCGCGCCGTCGAAGGGATCAAACCCCTCGACGAGGATCTGCGCGAGGAGCAAGAGGCCCTCGTTTCCGGGGTTGTCCTCGTGGAAGCGTCGAATGACACGGGTCGCCACGAGCTCGCAGAGGATGGAGCGGGCTCGGTTGACGCTTTGTGTGGCGAGTCCGGACTGGGACTTGAGGAAGAAGACGCGGTTGGCGAGGAGGCAGTACACTGGAAGGAGGAGGGGGATCTCAGTTCTCTTTTTCTCCTTGGGCGATGAGACGGACGGCTCTTACCAATGGAGATATTTTGCGTTTCGTAGAGTCGGTCGACGAGGGGTCTGACAATGAGTGCGTTGAGATTTGGCTGGCGGAAGTGGTCCAGCGTGTACGGATCATCTGCCAAGTTGTGTGAGATGGGACGATATCACCACAGCACCGGACAGTGAGCCTACCTATACTGGCGAGAACCAGGCGTCTCACTCTGTAACAGCACATTTAGCTAATCATGATCCAACTGGAGGGAGAAAAGGGGGGAAAAAGGGAGGGGTCAGTCATACCGATGGAGTGTCACGTAAACAGACTCGGGCTCACACTCGTCGGGCTCAAGCAAGTCGACTTCAGCTTCCTCCGTGGCCCTCTCATCGCTCACCCAGTCCTCCTGTGAATCCATTCTCACAAATGCCGCGCAAGAGTGAAGCTGAGGAAACCATCTCAGTGCACAGAGCCAAGCCTCGAGCGCTCGTTCAGGTATATACGCCAAAAGTCGACGATGTTGAGGTGGCGAAGAGGGTGGCCGGAGGGCAGGTATTTAAGAGGGGCCCGGATTGATAGACGCATGCTGCACGTCGCCGTCGGCGATGCCATGTACGATGATGCCTCGACGTCATGTATAGTGTGGTGGGTTCACTTGATTTCGTCTGCTGTGCTCGCACGCTGTGGCGATTTGCTGACGTGCTTTTTCATCGTCATCTTGTTCTCTTTTGGCGGATTCTGAATGCAAGGAGGGCCAAGTGAGTCGGACGAGAAGCACATTGTGTCCGACGGATTTATCCTCACCGTCGACCAAGTTTCGACGAGGCCGAGTTCCCGAGTTTGACTCGGTTCCGTGACATGCGTTGCGCATTGATCATCTGATGCGATGGACTGGGCCGTCGGGCGGCAGCGAAACCAATAGTCGCCGTGAACCAATAAGCTGGGTCGATATCTTGGGTTGCACCAACACTCCATGTCCTGGGAAACTGCTTGCGACCATTTGATTATGTCAACATTGAAGCATGAACGAACGAGTCGCCGTTTCGCTCGTCCTCACATAATCGGCTGACGCCGGCGTGGTCAAGTAAGTACATTGGTCGATGGAGTTGCTGCAACCTATCGCTTGCTTGCTCTGAAAATATAATATATAAAAAAAATAATAGGAAAAAAAAAGAAAAAAGAAAAATCACCGCCATGGCAGCATCAAGTTGTCGAATCGCAGCTACCAGCCTCGATACTCCACCATCTTTGTCAAGTTTAGCCTCTTCTTCTCGCAAGGCACCAACAGCTCCTTCAGGACGGGAATCCACCACTTCTCAATCTCGTGGCCGAGCTTCAACGCAAAGGCGTACTCTGCATATTCCGGGAAGAAACCGCTCCTCTCCCAATCCACAATGCCAGTCACCCGTCCATTCTCAACCATGACGTTGCGCGGTGACAAGTCGCCGTGCGTGAGGACAAATCTGTTTGCTGTGCCGGCAGCCTTTGACCTTGCGCGCGACTTCTCAAGGAACCGGCGCATTCTCCACGTTGTGAAGTCAGACGTCCCGAGTCGATTCAAACACCACGTGTCAAAGGCTTCTTCATCCTCAAACGGGCCGATGAAGTTGTATTCCAGTCGATCGTAGACATTGTACGTGGGCTGTTTGTCAACCCGTCCAATGTACGGCTGGGTGCAGCTTCTCATGAGGGCGAACTGCTCACGTAGCTGTTTCTTGATGGATTCCCTTTCCAACTTGCTGAGCTCGTCCCATACGGTGTCCAATGACTCTCCGGGTACCCTCTCGGCCACCAAGACGCGTGCCAGCGGCCTTTGGGGCTTCATGGTCACGATGTCATAACATCCGCGGACTTTGGGCGCCAGGATGCCGTGCGTTGCAGCAAACTGCATCATGTCTGCTTCAGAGCGCGCCAGGGAATCATGACTCTTGACTTTGAGGGCGAGTACATCGCCGTTTGACGTTGTGTGTTCGAGTACGCGTATGCCCATGAAGTAATAGAGTTCTGGGAGGTTCTTGTCGACAGCATCTGGATAAGAGATGCTGCGGACCGCGGCGACATCTTCATCTGTGGACTCAGCCATGTTGGTCTGGCAATGCGCCTCAATCAGCAACCAGATTCTTCTCAACGCTCGGAATTTCGCGGGTACTTGGGAGACGAGACGATGCACAGCTTGGGCGGCTTCACAAGGAGACGGACGACCAAAGTTGACACTTTGGCAGCTGTCACGTGGCTCCTCTGCCGTTGGGATTAAGTGCTGACCCATGTCGACATTTGACGTCGCCTGAACCATCCCCCTGCATGTGTTCAATTACGGGTTGCTTTGATGCTTTGCTCAGTGAGCTCTGATGACGACGGCGGTAGCTCCATATACGGTGAGGCTCAGTCTGAGCCGCTTTCCATCCATTTGCCGCCAGGTTCATGTAGACCGCGGCCCTCGACTGTAAAAAAGTCTCGACTAACAAATTCAAGCAGGATGCTGAGTCTCCACGAAAGCATTGCTGCCGCAGATGACGAGACAAGAATACCACAGTACGCACCAAGCCCCGTTGAGTTGGCAAATCTAAACGTCTCCCGGAACCAACAGCAAAAGGCCTTGAAACATGGTCGCATAAACGCCGTACAATATGACCACCAGCATGGCCTGTCTTCCAGTGCTACCCGTGCATCCTGAGCCTGGTTGGTACACGGCCAGGCATGCCCGTTTGCTGTGTGCCGGTTTGTTGTCGTCAACACAGCTAGCAACTTGACGGAACAGAAATGTATAAAACCCTGGGCCACTCTCGGAGCAGAATCACGAATCAATCGATATCTTTAAATCCACGAACCATTCCTAGTCACCAGTCATAAGGCAACGCGTATTCGAAAAGCGTATTTTGTCCCTGTGTGTTTCGTATTTCAGGACCACAGTCTCTTGTGCCTTCTCTTATCAACATGCCGGCCCTTTCCTCGACTTCAACATCCCATGCGGTGTACCACGGCCCTCTCCCTCTGTACAGAGTTGCCTTTGAGGGCGAACGAACAGCTCACTGGCTCTGTTCATTCCGTACGCTCCTGCACGTACCGACGGCGTTCTGGTCCACGTTGGAGTATAAAAGCAAGTCAGCGGCGGAACCAATCCCGGAGTCATTCGCCCACCCATTCGCCGACCCAATCGCACTGGCAAGTGGAAAAGTACACGCTCAGATGGCACCACTTCCCCCTGCTCCGAAGCGATGGCTTGAGGTCTGCCTTCCCCATCGCCAATGCCTTTGCCACCCAGTCTCAACTGCGTTGGGCCGCCGAGGAGGTTTTCAATGGAAAATGGTACAATGCCTTGACCAACAACTGCCAGCATTTCTTCATCGACGTGGTTACTCACTTGCATCAAAAATACCCTCAGTCGGTCCCTCGTTCGGCTGTAGAGGACGTTTTGGCTCGTGCCCAAGGTCTCACCAACATTTCTTATGTGCTTCGACGAACTCAACTCCATGAAGAGGGAACAGATGCAGAAAGCGACCGTGGTGACAGGCCAAGATTTTCAATCGACTGATGGCCCTGCCGGTTTACGTTCCGCAGTATTCTGCGGCAATGATGTGGCAACAGACACGACTTGTTGTCGACGCTTATTTCTGAGAGGTGGATTTTGTGATGGATCTGTTTGTTTAGGCTGTTGCTGATATGCGGTGTAATTCGAACTATTCTTAAAATTTCATATCGGATGATTTGCTAAGTAAGATGTATGTAGTTTCAGCCAATAAAGAAAACCCCAACTTGAACATTTTGAGTAGCGGGCTTCTGTCTACACTGATTCCTACAGAAATCTCGTCCATGTCTCATAAACCCCACCAGAGCTCCTTGAAATTGCCTCTCTCTCAGTTTCACCCATGAGATAAAAGCGTCCAACCACTCACTAATACACCGTTATATTTCACCAAATCGAGACCCCAGACTGACAAGATTAAAAGTGCAATCAAGATATACACAGCTCTCCACGAACCCCCGCACCTCGAGTCACATAAAAACTCACCCCATCGCCACTCACTTCAGCTCGGCAATTGCCCCTCACACCCAGTTCCCCAACAACCATGGCCGGGAAACAATTCAAACCCGCCCTCATCATAGTCGACTTCCAAGAAGACTTCTGCCCGCCCGTTGGTCGCCCCCCAGCCCAAGCAATGGCAACCTTGCCAATCTGACCGCTCGCAGAACGGCAGCCTAGCCGTCCCCGCAGGCCGCACCATCGCACACGCCGTCAACACGCTCCTCGCGCTCCCGTTCCCCCTCAAAATCGCCACCCGCGACTGGCATCCCCGCACCCACGTCTCCTTTGCGAGCAACCACCCGTCCTCGGAGCCCTTCACGTCCCGCGCGACGATACGCCACCCCTCGGACCCGTCTCAGTCGTACACGACGACCCTCTGGCCCGTTCACTGCGTCCAAGGCACACCCGGGGCCCAGCTCGTTCCCGAGCTGGACCTCTCGCAGGTCCACCAAGTCCTCGACAAGGGGCAGGATGACCGCGTGGAGATGTACTCTGCGTTTTATGATCCCCTTCATGTAAGTGACAGTGGGTTGGCCAAGAGGTTGAAGGAGGAGCACGTAACGCACGTCTACGTCGTCGGATTGGCGGCCGACTTTTGTGTCAAGGCGACGGCCGAAGATGCTGTTGCCGAGGGGTACGAGACTTATATCGTGGAAGAGGCGACGAAGCCCGTCATGCCCGATGCCTGGGAGACATGCCGGGAGGGGATCGTGGCAAAGGGAGTTGGGATGATTTCTATTCATGGGGACGACGTTGCAAGAGTAAAGGCGCTATGGGGAAAATAGAAAGCAAAATGCGGTCGCTTTGATTTGGATTCGACTAGTTGACGGCTTACAAGAAAGATTACAATGGCCCCCCAGAAGATGTCCATCACCACTCGGCATTATATATATGTATGTACGTATTTCTATGTTGGTGCCTTTCTACTCTTTGAGCCTGCTTTGTGCCTGTCGCAAGAGAACAAAAAAACTCCCAAGATGCGAAATATTAAACTCCTGCCAACACCATGTTGATGATGCCCATTTTTGCACCATATCAGGCCTCGCTTAGAGAACTCCTCTGGTGGCCAATGGGCGAAAATTTGCAATCATCGCTTCGACCTCTGTATGGCAGCAGCGCTCTTGGACTTGTCCTGAGCATTTGTCATGGCTAGGGAAACAGGGGTCATGGGAGGAGGAGCAGGCGTGCCGGTTCTCGAGGGGGCAGCGCTTCTGTTGTGCTGCATGTGCGCCTTGACAAGGTGACCAGCCTGGAGTGCGCTGCAAAGGGACAGTTCACCGGCCAAGACCGCGGCACCGATAATTCGTGCAAGTCGTCGGGCATTGTCACCGGGGTTTGTTGGGTGTGATCCCCTGACACCGAGCATGTCGAGCATAGCACTCTGAGGCTCCAGGATGGTGCCGCCGCCCAGGGTGCCGACTTCGAGCGAGGGCATGGAAACAGCGATCTGGAGGGACCCGTGAAGACTAGAAGAATATACAGGTTAGAAAGAAAACACGACATGTTTTTTGAGTTTGAATACTCACTTCTTCATTGTCGTAATACAGTTGGCACTCTCCACCACTTGTGCAGGGTCTTGGCCAGTGGCAAGGAAGATTGCAGCGACAATATTAGCAGCGTGCGCGTTAAAACCACCAATGGAACCAGCCATGGCAGATCCGATCAGGTTCTTAGCAACATTAAGCTCAACCAAAGCATCGACATCACTCTTCAAGACAGACTTGACAATGTCGGCCGGAATGATGGCCTCGGCAACAATCCCCTTGCCGCGACCGTCGATCCAGTTCATGGCAGCCGGCTTCTTATCAATGCAAAAGTTGCCAGACACCGTGACAATGTTCATGTCATCAAATCCACCCTCAGTAGACATGACATTAAGTGCGTGTTCAACACCCTTGGAAATCATATTCATGCCCATGGCGTCGCCGGTAGTGGTTTTAAATCGAATATACAAGTTTGTTCCGGCCAAGGCAGTCTTCATGTGTTGCAGTCGAGCAAAACGACTCGTTGAGTCAAACGCATCCTTCATTGTCTTCTGGCCAACCTCAGAATCCAGCCAGAGTTTGGCGGCACCAGCCCGCTCGAGGGTTTCAAAGCTAACACAAGGACCACGGGTCATGCCATCGCTAGTGAGAACAGTAATGGCACCGCCACCAGAGTTGATAGCCTTGCATCCACGGCTCGTGCTAGCAACTAGAACACCTTCTGTCGTAGCCATGGGAATAAAATAGCTCTGGCCATCAATAACTAGAGGGCCGGCAACACCTACAGGGAGGGGCAAGTAACCAATAACGTTTTCACAGCAGGCTCCAAAGACTCGCTCCCAGTTGTAGTGCTCGTAAGGCAGTAAAGACGAATCTAGTCCGTTGGTGAGCCCCGAGGTAGCCTTGGTGCGGGAGATAATGGTCCGTCGGATCTTGACGGCACGGGTGAAGTCCCTCAATGCCTTTTCAAGAGCATAACCTGGGATCTTGCCACGCATGGACATGGTGACAACTTCTTCATCATTGAGCTCGTGGGTTCGTTTCTCAGCAATGAGTTTCTCCAACTCTTCAATTGATCGATGCTCTGACTGAGACTGGGACCTTGCAGGCTTGACCTTGCGCATCTGGAGGCCATCACCTTCATCATCGGTCAAGGCAGGGGTCGCAGGTTCGGTACGCATGGGTGTGGGGGGCACATATTCTCCAAGTGGCAGAGTGGCAGACTCCGTGTCATTGAATCGCTGAGCTCGGGCAAGTTCCTTGCGGTCAATACTGTGATCGGGCAAATTGGGGTCCTTGATGCTCCATCTGGCCACGTTGAAGAGATACCCGTTGAGGCCGACACTCAGTGCCAGGGCCACCACGATCCACTTTGACAACACAGGGTCTTCAAGACTCTTCAGGAGACTACCAACCATGCGGCCTCCGACGCCATAGTTGTCAAACTGAACTGAAGAACCATTAGAACCGAGGCCGCTCTCGCCCAATGACGACGACAGAGCATAGTGAACTGAAGGATATTCTAGCTCGTACTTGATCGGGGTCAGGATAGTAACGCGAGTCGGCGTATTACTAGCTTGGGCAGCACGCAAAATGGCGTCCAAACCATTCTTTGCGACCTTGTAGGGGTCAACTGGTAGAGTTGAAACAACTCCTCCAAGACCGCCAGCCCAGGATCGCAGGGTGGATAGGGAGGCTGCACTACGGAAAGGAATAGTGCAAATATTGATTACATTGATAAGAACAAATCCCGAAATCATGAGCACCTTGAACTTGGGCACGGTGCTGCTCCTCATGCGGCCAAACAACGTGGTGTCTTTAGATCCAGAGCTATTGGACTGGGCCCAGTCGTCATTGCTCTTGGCCACGTTTTCGGCAACACGGCGGCTGACGCCATCAGCCTCCAGGGCCATGCGCATATCGTAGTGCCGCTTGATGCGGTTTATTTCAAGCTTGATGCTGAGAATGGCGGTGTAGAAGGTGAAGAGCAAGATGCAATCAAAGAACAAAATCCAGGCAGCCAGGAAGCAGAACTGTTGGAGACCGCCCTGAACCCCCGAAGCAGCACCAATGGAGAGGATTGCTATTTCAATGGCATAGTCACGCAGAATCTCGTAGCCCTTGTCCTTGATAGCAGCCTGAATGGCATATGAAATGACATTTTGAGACTGAGTTCGTTCATCGGACTTCTTGCCAGGCCCGACATCGCGAGCTTGGGTACGGCGATGCTCGACAGCATGACTCAGAACTGCTCTTGTGAGAACAATATTCTTCTCAAAGCCGATGGTCACAACCAAGAATGGCAATCCCTCGGACAAGAGAATGACACTAATAGGAACTCCAAGCTTCGTAGTGACAGCCAGGCCAAAGAGGAAGGCAAAGACGGACGAGAAAAGAGTGCTCATGCCCAGCCAGAAATTGGAGCCCATCCGTCGCATGGAGAGGAAGAGGGACACAAAGGTTAGATGCATAGAGAGATATCCGAGGACCATGATGACAATATCAAGAGTCTCGGCGTTTTTGAGCAGATCGATGAATTCCACCCAAGCGTTGCTAAGCCACTGGACAATGGTATTGCGGGTGTTGACCTTGGCTGCCTTCATAATCCACATTTTCTTTTCGCGGCCATGACGAGTAACAATTTCTTCTGCTTGTTCGTCAGGAATCTCCTTTGCGGCTGAAACAAACTCCGGCGCCTGCTTCTTAGGAACAGAGTAGGCGAGGATGCTGTCCAAGGTGTAAGTGTTGAACGAGTTCTCGGTAACAGGGAGAGGTGTAATCGAGAGGTTCTGAGGCGTGGGAACGACATGGGATCGAGGAGCAGAGCTGGAGGAATCGGTCGAGGAGGTATCGGGGAAGACAAAGGTGAGAAGCGCCAAATGGTTGGCGTCAGCCACAGAGGCAGCGTCTTGTTCGATACTCTGCCATTTCCACTGCGTGTCGGGGCCAGCTATGAGGTCCCTACTGCCTTCAACCAGAGATGACCAGTCGGCTTTGCCCAGACTCACGGGGCCCTCGAAGAGGCTGTCTTGGATTAAACCGACGTAGGACGTGCTAGCTAGGACGGCAACAATGACGACGGTGTGGATGGGATGGGAACATGCGACTCTGGACAGGAACTGCAGCAGGGGCGCAAGCTTCTTGCCAATTCGGGAGGGGGCAGCTGAGCTCTGAGAGCAGTCAGGCTCCCCTCGAAATCGAGTAGGCAGAAAAGAAGAAGATATCATGTCGACGTGGTCGGAGAAGGTAACTCGGCGGTTCGGTTTACGACATTTGTTCCTGGGTGGATTCTCGGCAACAGCTCGGTCTACACAGAGCGAGGATTTTTTGTAAGCAGACGAAAACGACGTTGACGACGGGGAGTCTTGTTGGTCCAGCAGATGTTGACCCTGGGTCATCCTGCGAATAACAAGAGTCGAAGTGGACATGATGGAACACCGACGGACACGGGCATTTGAGCGAGAAGTGATGACGGGCTGGGACTGGAAGCTTGCTGGGTATTCGCTTAATGGAGAATATTTGACAAGTCCAAACGAACCCGAGCAAGGAAATACAGTGGTATTTACTTACCTCGATCGGAGGCAGGTCAGCCGCCGACGGCACGACAAGGATGGAGGAGGACGTGTTGCTGTCGGCTTGGATTGACGATTGCGGATGATGTGGTGGCGGACCAAAAAAATCTATTGTGGTGGTAAAAGGAGGGAGCGCGGGGCCAATGCAGGTGCGCGAAGTACGGGAGAAAGTTGGACCCTGAATAGAGGAGGCAGAGAACAATAGCAACGGATGAGCCAATTGGCAGCAGACCACAACACAGCAACAACAAAGGGCTGCACGCCGATAGTTGACCGTGTTGAGCGTGGAAGAGGTGAATAAGAGTGACGGACGGAGGATTAGAAGCCAAGGTGATGACCAAGGAAATGAATGTCGAATGGACTGGACTGGTCCAGCAACTTTATGAGTCCCTGTCCGCACAACTCAGGCTAGAGATTGGTCGGGGGCGCCTGTTAGGAGCACGGAGCCCGGAGTAGGCGGCTTACAGTACAACTACGGAGCACGGAGTACCTGGGCACGCCCACCGTAGATGGGTTGGGGCAGTGCTTTCATTGAACTCGGGGAAGAAACAGCGGCACCAGCACCAACATTGAATGGACACTGCACATCGGTGATGCACTTGGCACATCATTCCGACGTTGGCCTCAACACGCTTCAAACACAACGCAACAGACTAGGTGAGCATGTTCACGAATTAACGATCCATTGGCCATGATTCCAAGCCCACAGTGTATGGAGTGCTGCGTGGCTGGGCCAGGGCTTGGTAACAATTGATCACAATCATGTCATGCGACATGGACTTGACCCTTTTGAACCTGCAGCAGGATGCAGCGTGTGCCAAATCCACCCAAGACCAGACGGCTTCCCCTTATCGGGGCGCGGACATGCCTGATGCCGAAATTGCTAATATGCGACGGAAAGGGGGAGAAAAAAAATCCTCACACATTGAGTTAGTTGGGCAGCTCGATGCGATTTTTGCCGCAAATCGGCCGATAGTCACTCCCAGATGAAGCAGGCGGTCAAGGCTAGCAAGTTTTACCAAAGCTCCTTAGTCTGTCCTTATTCGCTTGAAATTGCCCTTCGCCCTCCACCCATGTCATGCCTCTCGACCCAGTCAGTTCATCTTTTCGTGAGCACGACGTATGTGCGTACTGCGTATAACTACTTATCAAAGTAACTATAGCACTGCGTACTCCATAGTCAACATGTTACTAATAATTCAACCACAGGCGAAACAAAAGGGCCCGGCCACGCCCACCCCATTCATTGCTCAGCCACGAAGCTCTACCACCATCCAGATCGTGGGCGAATAGAATGCCTGGGATGGCATCATGGCTTCCATTACATCCTACGAGTATATTGCAGAGTACGCAGCAGTTCAATTCTGTCTCAGTACTTCCCCCCACCTCGCTTTTGATGTTGGCCTGTTGTGAATGCAGTTCGAACCGTGTCTACTACGTACCTGAGAACTCGCATGTGGTGCCACCCGTCCTGGGTGTACTTGGTCAAGGATCCCTGCGGCACATCAAGCCCCAGCTCGATTAGCCGGAGGACCTTGTCGCCGCTGGACCCCATGTCTGCCATGTAGTTGAGCATAGGGCTCTTCATACGCTTGTCCAACCAGGGACATGAGCCATGACATGGCCACTTCTCCAAAACTCTGGGGTCCTTTGGGTGTAGGTCCTTTGTTACGGTGAAAATCTCCGAATAGTCGGCAATGCCCGCAGTAATTTCTTCTCCAGAGGCAATATAGCCCGCATAACTACAGTCGTTCACACAGGCTTGCTTCTGCGGCGGTTTTGCCTTGAAAAAGTCTCTACTGGCGGCATTGGCTTGGGCATATATTTGTTGTTGTGACGGCGACATGGCAATTTGCAGAATACCATGCCGTCTCCAGGCTCTCACCATGGCCTTGGCCATGGCCCTGTCAGAGAGCGACCCCGACAGTCTTTCAGGCAGGACAAATGTTTCCAGCTGCCCTACGGCGGCCGAAAAACCTGGCGGCATGGTTGTTTTGTGGGTAGGTTGAATAGAGTTCCCAGCCACCGGCAGCAGGGACCGCACCGTTCTTGAAAAGAATGGGGTGCTGGTACGCACCGCATCAACTGTAAGTGAAGCCATGTTAAAGAGGTACAGTCGCTTTTAATATTAATAAGATCGAAACCAGGAACTATGCATCTGGTTCTTCTTCATGCCCGAGAGTTGTCGGGGACGGGGGGGCATGTCGAGTATAAAATAGTCCACGGGTAACAAGGGAAAAGGAAATGTAACGACGCCGACTCTATCAGGCTTTTCCAAACTCGTCGCTTTTAGTACCGGCGGATTCCTCCGGTGGCGTCTTGAACAGAAAACACGCCATACTTTATTTCTCTCGGGTAACATCAGTGGCCAACGTCTTCGGATATGATTTGAGGTTGCTCTGCCATCTCCCTTAGACACCTTGAATGGATCTAAGAAGAACTGCATGTGGGCCTAGGCCTCAAGCTGTAGTGCGACTGAGGGCACGAAACGGTGCCTGTAGTGCCCAGAAACAAGGTTACTTCCGAGCGAACTGGGTCATACGGTGGCCATAACCGGCCGATAAAGGAACGCGAAAGAAACATATCGAATATTGTCACGGGTTTTGTGACCATGACAGGTTCGGCCTTGACTTTGCAATAGGACGTAATCGCGTACCTAAAAGGCCTTAGGGTTCCTAGACTTGTGCTTTCATCTATGTAGTCACTTGGTATTTCGCACGGTGGTATAGCATCATGGAGTGGCAAGAGTTGCCGAAGGTTTAAGCTATGGATTCCGAAAAAGGCTCTTCGCGTGTTACTCCTCGTTAGCTCGGGCCTGTAACTTGGCTAACATGTCTCATCGCCCAACGATATGACAAGACGCAGAGACTTGAAGCCTCACCGTCTCCAAGATCCTCTCCACCAAAAGGTCCAGGGAAGGCTAGAACACCGAAGCAGCGCCGCTGCAGCACGCAACTCGACCCAAAACCCTGATCTCATGGAAAAACTGAGACTTCTATTGCGCACTAACGAAATTTACAAAGGGAAACGATCTCGTGTCATATAAAGCGGACTTGTGGCGCGCAGTCTAGAATTCCGTATCATGGCCTTTACAAACATTGTCACGTTCCACTCATACTCGGCCATGGAGCGAAAAGGCAAAAGATATTGCCAAGTCGAGCTGTCCCCGCATCCGTCAATTGGAGTACCGAGAATTTTCGCACCCATGGAAAGGGACCTTAACCACCTTATCGGCGCCTTGGAAGACGGACGTGTCAAGACGAATATCTTGGCGGGGGCAAGTGGTGATGCAGTTGCCAATGTCGTGGAATGTGATAGTACTGTTGAAAAGGGGGGGGTTCAATAGCTTTGATTGGGCCCGAGCCATTCGTTTCTGCAGGGCATCGACAGATCGACGTCGAAGTTATCCAATGATTTCGAGCAAGCCAGCAAGTTCGTCCAGCTACCTTCAAACTTGTAAAGACTTTGCTGATACACAGAGTCTTGGTCACCCCTGGAGCATTGTCTACCTCGCCCCGGCAGTGTACAATCGTGATGGCAACGGAGGAGGATCAAACTGTGATACGAAGCTGCGGACCCCGAATAAGCAAGTCTTCGACAGTGTTAATGCGCTGTCGAGATCTGACAGTCGGTCAAAATGAACTTCCATTTTCCGCGCCAAGGATTCTCTCGCCCACATACCCGACAGTTGTTCGGCATGAACAATATTCGGGATTTCTAACCCCTCATAGGAATAACGTCCTAGCTCTATATCTCATAATGCATGCAATGATACAACACCAAGGGCGTACAAAGCCATCAGGGTCATGCGGCCCGAAGATATACCCACGTGTCATGTATCTAGGCGCTCCGGGATGGTGCTTCTTTGCAGAATCAGGGTCCTCCTCTTGGACGGTCCAGGCAAAGTTAGCCAAAGTGGCTATTCGCTCGCCGTGATACATGCTCAACACCGGTTTTGACGTCATTATTTACCGTGCTATATCCCTTCATGAACCTCAGCACCTATGACTTATCTTGGGGGGGGTTCTCCATCCAGCACTAGCTACTCTAGTGACGACAGATTGGTGGTTGTTTTGCCACCGGCATGATGCTTACATCGCACATGCGGAAAACAAAGCAAATGGTTGTGCTCCGTGGCCCATAAGACTGGCAATGCATTCTCACAATCCCGTTATCCGTCGAAAGTTGAGACGATCTTGACTCCTCAGGAGGGCAATCTGAAGCTTAGAGCGTTCTAGAGGAAAAGGCAACCACCTGTGGTTGCACCTGAAGCCTCAAGGAACGAGGGCGCTCAGTAGGCGTCGTCCGGCAGCCTCCTTCGAGCGACAGCTTCAGTTTATCACGCCTGCAATCCGATACCAGTTTCTATCGATCGAATTGAGCCAACCTTTATTTCAATCCGACTGCGATTCGATGGCTCCTACAGACTTTCCGGTCGCAGCTTCAATTCCAAGGAAAGCTCACCACGCCGGATCTCCTGGTAGTATTATGTTAGTATGGACCTTTTATTGAGAGTGGTAAGCTAGAAGACTGTATGCACGAGCATTTGGACTGCTTCGGGCTGCCTGAAGCTTCGCATTCGATAGCTGCCACAGCCAGCCCTTGCTTTTTCGTTCAATCCGGCCGAATCTACTAATAGCTACATATACCTCAGCAGTCTTAATCCACCGGCTGCTGCAGAACTCCTTCCCTAGTTATGTCGCAAGGATTGGTCGCGACACGCCTGTCCCCCGGGGATTAGGGAAGCAGGTATTTCAGCGTCTCGAAGCTTCCTTAGCTTGTCCTCTATATCATGAATACACCCAGCGGCTCCAAGTTTGGTATCAGAGCCAGCAACAAATCTGCCAGCAGCTCCAAAAGAAGGTTTTCGACCTGCGTCACATCGAGGCTTCATACAAGATAGTGGCTCGAGAGTTAAATAAGGTGGTGACAGGCATGGCAAACAAGCCCGCGAGTACCGAATCTGACCACAGGCTTCTGAGCCCACAGGAGTCTTGTCAAATCCATTGGCCTCAATCGAGCCTGGCTTAAGTTGCCAAATTGACCGCCTGCCCCTCAGTTCAAGCTTCCAATCGAGCCGCCCAAAAAAATGCCTGCCGAATTCAATTATTGCAATTTGAGTAGCAAGTGTCTCTTAATCCATTGCTGGTATCTGTTGCGTTCCGTGATTAGTCATGTTGGCCATGTGTATAAGATGTCTGTTCAGGCCTGATTTGGCCCCTACACATGGAGCTTTCTAGCCGCGAAAGCTAATATTAACAATAATCAGGGGATAAGAGCCATTGCGCCTCCAACCTCGAACTCAGGGGATCCAAGGTGCGGCGTTTCGGCCTACCTTTTCGCTGTAGAAACAACAACTTGTCACAGCTACCTCTGATTGGTTGTGAAATACAGGTGTGAAATATACTTTGGTCGTTGGCTAGATCGGCCTCGGCTTGCTATTGTTCGCCGTCGTCGACGCTGTTCACGCCATGCTTATACCCATTTCATCAGATGAGAAATCTGTAGCATCTTTGCCGATTTCCCCCCGAAGGATATCTCGTGCAATTTTAACACTTGCAGACATTTTACTGGGATCTCTACATAATTGCTATACCTAGGGCTCCTATATAATAAAGCGCGTACTTGGCCGATAGGAGCGTTCAAGGTCGTCGGGTTCGGCAAGTCTGTCCAATGACGACGTGGCCTTAGCTAGCAGAGCTTATACCATATAAATATGAAATTTATCCCAGTAGTCCAACGGGGCTATTGAGAATCCCACTGACAATTGGATAATAGGGATCCATGATTAGGATCTCACGAGAAAGGAAATCAAAGACAAAGGTATATATCCCCATGATCATTGTTGTATAGGACCCGCGATGGCGAGATATAGCCTCTCGTAATATCATTCTTAATCGAGCTTTCGGGAGCAGGTATCACAGTTGAGGCTGCAAACGAGACCATCAGTGCTACATCTCCGCTGATAGAGTTTACTGCCAGCCCTGAACGATGCGAGAAGTCCTAACGAAGCGGTTTCTCCTAATACCCCGTGTTTGGTTCACCTAGCCGTCAATGAAAACCACAAGTCCCTACAGACTCGGATAGTGTTGAGAATTCTTCTTCTTTTATTTTTTTTTTTAAAAAAAAACAGAAAACTCTTGTAGCATGTTAGGTGTGCAAGAACTTATATATTCCTGGACGGAAGCGACGCTGGTAATTCTTATACGGAAAAGACGACAACAATATATATCATGATGAGTCTCTATCTGTAGGAGGCCTCCACATTTGGTAGCTCAACAGTAACAAACGCCATGTTGCAAACGATGCCATGATTGTTCCAAGCAAAACCGTGCTCGAGTCGATTACCTTCGACTATTTGAGTCAAATGCCAAGCACTGAACATCGTCTAGCCATCCGATGGTCACGATCATATCGTCCTCGCTCTTTCTCCCAGTCCCAACCCTCTTTTGCCTCGTCGAGGTCGTACCCGTCCCCGCTACCAAAGTAGACATGAAAACGGGACTCGTTACACTTCTTGCGAGTTTCCTTGATTGCTGTCGCTTTTTTACGTCCAATAGACAGCGTAATTGAATCATTAGAGCTGATACGGTTCTCGGAGATATGGTCCCGAGCGACGACGCCGCATATGGCGCAGTAGGTGTCCCAAGTGCCCATTCCGTGTAAGGCGTGATGTGAGGCCCGACCCAACAGCCTCCATAATCGGATCGCGGCTACCCCAGTTCTCGTGTTGAGCTGATATTCTAGCGCCAAGTTGGAAGTGCGGTATTGTATGCAGGTTGGCAGATTACAACGGTAAACACGGAGGGTGAGCTGAGACGACGGCGCGGGACATGGTCTGTCAGATCAATACCTGCACATCGGCTGATTATTTTCAGCACTGTCGGCTCCTTGGTATCGTCCTCTTGGAACCTGGGATATATTTTGAAGTCGAACGTTTCCGAACGTACGTTCGTGGGTTATTCTTCCGCGCATCTTCCGAGACGGCTCTTTCTTTTCCGTACGATGTGCCTTGCGGGCTGACTGTTTAGATGACGAAAATGACAGGGACACAGATGTCAAGTTCATCTCACCCAAAGTGACCGTGGTATAAAATCTAAGATGAACGAACACTAGCCGGGCGCTGAAACTGTAAATTCAATACTTGGAAAACTGTAGTTAGATTCGGCTGCATCATTTGTCTTGAGCTGAGCATTGACGAATTTCAGATGAAATGTCCAACGGGACCTGGTGCCAGTGGACAAGATGCTATTCCCAAAGAGGTGGTTGCTGAAGCCGAATGAGCTGATATAAAAGATATATGGCCAAATTACAGTGTTACTAGATGCCCTCCATCTAGCCCGTTTTTTTGATTTTTTCTTAAATAAGTTAATAATTTAAGAATAATTTCATTTAATAAAAGATTATTAGTGAAATTGAATGGGGATAAAATCGTATCTCTTCCATGTGTAAAGATATCCATTAAGGGTAGCTAGCATGCAAACTCTTCTACAGGCAATTTCCCACTCGTTCCATGTAATCGCGTAAACAAAATCGTTGCCAGTCTTGTGCCAACCAATCACTAAAACACGTTGGCCAAACAGAAATTCACACCAAAGCGCAAAACGGCACGAAATTACAGTGCGTTCCAGACTTTTGCATCATGATTTTCCCAGCATCTAATACCCGCCACAGCATGGCAGACAACAGATGCCTCGGTTCCTTACACCTACACCCGCTGCGTGCTAAATATCATTTGAGGCGTGATCCAGGAAACCCAGTATCGATGCTGTCTCTCAAGGGTAGTCATCGACTCGCCTCGCATCTCGACATCGGTAAAGATCTTCCAACACCTCAATAGCCACAGACACACCGACCCGATAAGGAACATGAATCCCGCAAACAGCTGCGCGTGGATAAAGGCCCTATTGCTGTTGGGATCCCCTTCCACAAGTTTTATGGCGATGGGTTCCGCAAACGTCGTGGGCAGAACTAGCCCGATGCAGATAACGCCAAAAGTGTTGGCAAACTTTGCAATGCCCACAACCTCGGCCAGGACGGGCGTGATTGTGCACCAAAAGGTGCCGCAGAGCGTACCGGAAACAAGAGCAAAGAGCAAAAGAGGCGCAAACGACTGCGCCGGGATCCACAGGGCGAAGCAAAAGATGGCGCAGAGCATGGTCGTCGCCCCGGCCACGCTGATGCGGCCAAAGACATCGCTGAGGTAGCCCAGAGGCGGCCGGCCGATGGCGAGGCCGAGATTGAGCAGGGCGTTTGCTACCGAGCCCTGGGCCGGCGTGAGACCGATGGATGCGGCGTAGATGGGCAGCGAGTACAGGAGGATGATGTACCCCAGCTCCGTGGCGAACCCCCAGACAACAATGAGGAGGACCTCGACTCGCCCAAAGTCGCGCGGGTTGAAGCTGCTTGAGCGGATCTCGCCCGTCACCGCAGCACGCGGCCTGGTGTTGAGGTCCCGCAGCAGGAACGCAGCCAGGAGGTTGGCGGACAGCGCAGCAACGGCAAGCACACGGTACGCCCAGGCCAGACCCCAGGCGTGGATGATGCGGTCGGTCACGATGCTGTACAGTAGACCACCAATACCGGAGCCTGCCGTCGCGAAGCCAACGGCCAGGCTTCGGCGGGAGGAAAACCAGGGAGGCAGAAGCGCAGAGGCGGTGATGTAGGCGAAGCCCATGCCCCAGCCGAAACAGAAGCCTTGGGCGAGAACCAGGTGCCAGATGCTGGAGGCGAAGGAGGACGTAAGGAGGGACAGGAATATCAGCATGGTGCCGATGAGAATGGTCCATCGGGCGCCGATGCGTTTCCGGACGACGGTGACAATGGGCGAGATGAGGAGGGCCTGGGAGATGGAGAGGCCGCCCACGAGCCCGAATTCGAGATGCGAGGCCTGAATGGCCTCCTCGTTGGTCGAGTACTGAGCCATGATGACGGCCCACGACTGTTTTTGTTTGGTGAGCATGTGTTGGCTTTCAGCCAGACGCAAGGCAACTAACGGCGTTTATACCCCAGGTATGAGCGTTGATGAGAAACACGGCAAATGTGCAAACCCACGCATACCCCCCATTAGGAGGGACAGGCTCTGCAGTCGCAACATTGGCCACGGCATCGTCGTCCGATTCACTGTGAGGCGTTGATGAGCCTCGGGCACCGCCCTCGCTCAGAGGGATTGGCGACGGCGGGCGACGCCCATCGGTGGCATTGCCTGTCGCCTCCGCCGAAGTCATCTCGGAGAATATGCGAGGGAGAAGCGATGTCTGGTGGAGGTCTTAACACATTCATGGCCATTTCTTTATATTCTTTCCGTGACCGATATCGGCTGTTGTCATGGTTGGGCGCGAGATCCACGGTCCGAGAATTATTTTGGAGTACGTAACTGCCGGCCTATGGATACGGGAACTAAGATGGTCGATGATGGGGACATGTGCCGTCGTCGGAAGGGGCGTAGAATCGAGCGGTGCTCCACGTAGTTTAGGGTTAGGGTTAATCGAAGGCCTGGCAGAGTTCGGCGATTGCTCCCGAGATGCTAGATATTATGCCGTGGGGTTTTCTATCCGCACGAAAATGAATCTCGACTCGACAGCGCCACTCGGATGACCGTGTGTGGTGGAGCTGAAACGGTCGTTGCTACTGAGATGGAGGCACGTGGCAGGGACCAAACGAAATTGGCAAACAGTGCTGGGCAGATAGATAAATATCTGGCCGGGCCCGGGCCAAGAGATCGTGTGTAATGGTGCAAGGTCGTTGCGTCCAAGTATCGTGAGAAATGAGCACGGCCAGATGGCCATGTGGGAGTAACAACGAGTCGCTTCTTGGTCGCCGTCTCTTGTTGTGCAGTTTAGACATACATGGCCCGGAGACTTGGTGGATTGCATGGAGCGCCAATGCCTCAAAGCCGACTGAAGCGTGGGAATACGGCCGTCGTTCCTATTTGGCTCCTGATACAATTATCCAGACCGTCAACCGTACATGTACACGTCCACTTGAGCAGTTGACCTCATCACTTTCACTTGTTCAACTTGCCCGTCTCATGCTCCGATCCCGCCTTCTTCGCTTTCTCGTCCGCAACCCTACACAAGGCCGCCCACTCCTCACTGCTGACCCGGCTCACACTCAGCCGGCTCTGCTTCAGCATCTGCATATTCTCCAGCGGGCCTCCTGGCTTTCCCATCTCCCGCAGCTCCTTGAGGGTAATCGGCACAGCGAATTTTTTGCGAAACTCGACGTGGACAAGACTCCAGCGCGGCTTGTCCTTTGTCGATTGGGGGTCGTAGTAGGGCGTGCCCGGCCGACGGGCGCTTACTACGCTCTTGATCAGTAAAAACTCTGGGCAACAGTCAAGGAGAGGCCAACCGTCTTCAGAGAATTCTTTGACCACCTCCATTATGCCTACTATGCCGGGTTCTTTGCAGTTGGAGTGGTAGAAGAAGGCTTTGTCGCCGGCATTCATGTTCCGCATGTAATTGCGGGCTGCGATAGTTAGGCCATGGTTCATGTGTTTGCGGATGAAGCGAGCGAGACGTACCGGCATATGCTCTGATTCCTGATGGGAGTTAGCACGCATGGTTTTGCTGAGAGGACAATGGTAAGCTTACCATCCCAGCCCTCGGGTTTCGTCTTGCCCCTCAAGTCGTCGATGGAAAACCTCACGTCGATGCCGTTCTCATAGCGCGTCTCAGGCTCCGCCTTCATCAACCAGTACCACTCGCCTTCATGTCGGGGCGCCTCGGGATTAGTTCTGGGTATAGAGTCTACGTCGACGTCTTCCGACGCGGCTCTTTCATTCCTCTTGGCGCCGGCATCCTTCTTGCTTGCGATTGGCGAGGCGGCCTTGTTGGTCTCTGTGCCGCCTGTTGACTGCTTGGTAGGCTTTTTGGCCGCGGCCTTGGTGTCCGTCTTGGCTTGCTTGGAGCTCGGCTTTGTCCCAGTATTCCGGGGCGCCTTGATATCTGAGGTAGAGACTGGGCGAGAAGACGTATTGGAGACAGAGGCTGTTGCTTGACGAGCTGAGCGTCTCTTGGGAACTGGTTCGCCGTTGCTCTCGATGCCCGAGGCAGCTCGTTTTCTCGGTGCCATGCTGTATGCCCGAAGCCCAAACGCTGGGTGACAGGGCGGAGGATTTACCGAAAACGCACTGCCGGATATCTAGGTGAGCGCGACGCAATGCACCGGGACGCCTTGGTGCGATGCGTGTGCTCCCGTTTTGAAGGGATCGCCAGTGACCACCACGACGCACCTGAAAGCAAGGTCACAGGTGAGACCTCAAGCCGGCGCCAAGCTCCCGTTGCCGCGTGCTTGCAATAAGTGGGGCTCTGCGTTGACTTGGAGCTACGTGACCAACCAGACGTCGTCGTATCTGGTACCAATGACGGAGCCGTGTGAGAGAGAATATCAGCTCGCACATTGCACGCCTCAAATAAACTAGGATCCCCTGGCCACGGGAAAATTTTGCCTGTATTAATCGAGGCCTCGTAGCACTCAACGGCGTAAATGTGGGTTGCAGGCAAACAGCACGACTACAATATAATATGACAGACAGCCACGCATAAATCCGTCACTCCACGACATTGGAAAGACCAGACTCTTCATGGTCAAGTGGCTTGGCTTGCGATACACCAAGTTTCCCGAGCCGAACGGGCACCAACGCGGCGGCGCACCTGCCAGCCAGCCACATCAAACGTGACTAATCACATCACATTGGCCGGCCGCAGCTGACTGCCCAATCGGGCAATTTTCTGCACTTACACGCCCTCGGACAGAACCAGCGCTTCATCAGACTTGACTTGCAAGTATCTGGTTGCCTGCAGTGGACAGTGACATGTACCGACGAGGACACCAGTGACAACTGTGGAACGCATATCGGCCTGACCAAGAAACACTGGGCCTTTGTCACGTTGGTGCCGTCTGCTGGTGTATCACTGTAGATGCTCTGCTGTCCGCAATGGACTGCTAGCAAGCCGTTTGCCACCAACCCCTACTCACGGCCAAGTCTCTATTGCGGGAAAATAAACCTGGCTGGGGAAGGCCAAGAGATGAATGTCTGACATTTGGACTGTGTTATCAAGGGAAGCAAGAATAAGTGATTATGCCCCGCAGGCATCTATCAGACAGCCTTGCCTCACTAATCATTTCCGTCCTCTGCACAGAACAAGCCCTTCCAGCTCTACCACAGTTCTCAAAAGACGTTCAAGACCATTTATAATGATAAAACGAAGTCTGGGGCAATCGTTGCATTGCTCTAGATACGAGTCCGCCTGGCCGTGACGATTATGACACGCAGAAAAGGGTTCGGGCACCAGCAGCTGTGTCAAAGACGGCAAATTAGTGATGCATCAATCCTCAAGAGCACGGCAGGCCTTCATATAACCTCTACAGCAGGTTTTGTACACCATAAATTGTTCCATTGCTGTGTAATGTCCAGACGTCGTGCTTGTCGACCAGAGGGTGTCGTACACATAGGCCACCGAGGTCGAAACGGCTTCCAGAAGCCTTTTTTTAATGATTCACGGTCAAAGCTGATACAAGATGGCGAAAGATTCACGACATTTCAATTTACCGATGAAAAGCATAATACATGTGCGTAAAACCATGACGTGGAAGGAGTCTAGGACGAGGTGATGTTGGACAGGGCAGGACATGATTGGTCCGATTCGAGGGGCGTCGGCTGGCGTGCAGGGCCATAAAGACCGGCTTTCCCCCCTCTCACCCTCCTTTTTTTCTTTTCTCCTCCTTCATACCCTTTTTTTCTCTTTTCAAAGAATCCCTTTAACCAAGTTGGAAGGAGGTTGACATGATTTGATATCAACCATAGGGACCATCGGTGACTAGCTGAAGCCACATAGCCCTTACTCACCCACTTATACCGCGCTGTCACTCGTATTCCCGACTCAGCAGGTTATTCATTACACCTCCGGCTGCCTATCGGCTTGCACACGAGTCCAAATTAACCAGGTTAGACGTTGAAAAACCGATACCGTCACTTACAACACCGGTCCTGTATCCATGGCCCAGTGTCAGGATATGTGTGAAAAGGGTAGCGCAAGGCCACCATTGAAGCGTACCAGGAGGCAGCTCTCGACCGGAAACGACGAAAAGTGCTCCGAGAGAGCACCAAAACGACATTTCAGAAATCAAGATGTAGATTTGAGACGGTCTCTTACACGCTCGGATAACCTCAGAGGCGGCAGCCAGCCGACTGTTGAGCATGGTTCAACACGTACAGGCTCGTCACGTGCCTGGGACGAAGACGACGTCGCTTACATGTCCGGATCGGAGTATGATTGGAGCAATATGAGCACGGTATGCTCTACAGAAGTCCACATGAACGTCGCCTCGACATTTACACGCGGCAGATGGCGTTCGACATGTCCAGAGCTGTGCCGCAGCGGCATTCCTTCTGGCTTACAGCCAATGACGAGCACTGGAAGCGACTTTGGCCATACCGGTGCGTGGATTGATTGTGAATCCGACTTGTTTGGCGACAAGAGCTTGTTATTCGACGATGAGAGCCCGGAAAGCCACCCAGAAGTGCCAGACGCACCTGACCTAGGCAAGCTGGCGACACCGCACTCGTCACCTATGCCGAGCACGTTTGAGTTTTGCTACTGCTGCGATGATGATCCAGATGCAGATAGAGACGGAAGGGTCGACAATTTACTGCGGTTGTCGTGTAGAAATAAATCTGATGCCCGGCGTGAGTATGAATTGCCTGCTTTTTTCTCTTTGATTTGTAGATTGTGCTGACTGCTGACCGGATAGTGGAATGGGCACTTGCTTACATGGAAAAAAAGCGGCGCAAAGAGTGATGCCATGGTTGAGTCCGTGCCGGGCAATTATGAGTAATGTTTCCCTGCGACGGTACATCCCCGGTGATGGTCTTGACTGGCGTTTTGACGGGTGTAGGTCCCGTTGGTCTCCTCAAGGAGCGACAGAGGCCATAGAGAGAGCGAAAGCCAACACGTACACACTTATAAGCTGGACATTGGGGATATTCAGCCATGGGCCGCTATTGCTGGATCTTTTTGCTCCCTGACTCAGCAGTCAACCCCGATGACCACCCTGACACATGGTGCATATTTCGTACACGTTTATAGCCACACATTGAGTATCTATGGCAAAAATGCGTCAATAATTGTCCCGTCCGTACACATTTTGCATTGAGGAGGCAATGAGGACCGTGTCTTGGTGGTGGTTGCTCTGGCGGGTGTGTCACTAGCCTGCCAAGTTGCTAGCCCACAGGTGTTCAGGGGCGGATCACTTCTCTCGATTATCTGTATTATTAAGTTTCAAAAAAAATTTAGGCTTTAGCCTAATTTACTTTTTTTTGGGGGGGGGGGGGGGTTTTCGATGTAAAA